GAGCCCGGCCAGGGCCGCGCGTCTCGCGCCTGGCCAGCTGCGATGGCCTGGCTGAGGCCTCCTGGTTCTGTCTCCAGGAGGCCAGTCGTTTCTGCAAAACCCCCACCGTGCGGAGCCGGACCTGACTAGGCGTCGGTGCGCAGCTCGTTGCCTAGCGCCCTGAAGCCGTGCTTCGCCGCAGCCCCGACGGCGCAGCGAGCCACGGACTACATTCTGAGCGCATACAGCTCCCCACTTCCGGTCGCCCATGTCCGTCCCAGAGTGACCACACACACACACACACACACACACACACACACCCCCCCACCCCCCCGACTGGACTGGGAACGACAGGGATAGCTGCCACGGGGACGATGAATCAGGGCCAGGCCCACACGGGCGGGCTGGAGGCCCAGCGTGTTAGCCAGCGGCGCGGTGGTAGCCGAGCGCGGCTGCCCACAGTGATGATGGCGGCAGCGGCGGCTTCGACACGTGAATCGGACGGGCGGAAGCGGAAGCATCGGCCCTGGTCCCGGGCTGTGCGAGCGTCTCCGCGGTGCTGCCCACCCATTGCCTGCCCCGGCTATGGACTGCTACACGGCGAACTGGAACCCGCTCGGGGACTCTGCCTTCTACCGGTGAGCCGCCCAGCCCTGTCACCACCCTGCTCACCTGCTAACTCGATCCTCTGGGCGAAAGCGGGCGGCGCGCGCCGCTGTCACTGCAGTCGCTGCGGGCCGCTCTCCGCCGGGATCCCCGCACTGACCCCCATGAGTAGAGAGTCCTCACCACCGTGCGGAAATGAGGCACACACGGTGGTCACACAAGTGGGAGCACGGCCCAGTCCCGGAGCGCAGGCCTGCCGGCCTCTGCAAGGCTGCTTTCAGTTCACATTGAGGGTGGGTGCGCACGAGTGACAGCGAATGTCTGGTGTCCCGAGGGGAACACTGTTGAATTCAGACCTCGAGAACACTCTGAGGGGGGCGGGAGCGCACAGCGGGGCGAGTGGTACTCGCGCGGTTGGAAGAGTGAGTCGTCGATGAATAAGAGGTAACGCAGATGTCCTCAGCGATGGATTATTCAGAAGTGTAGAGTGACCACATTATCACACTGAGTAGGAATTTTCTGTGGCGTCCCCACTTTGTAGCATGAAGTGCAAACTTCTTATGGGACACCTGTATGTCCATGCAGCCAACCTCATCAGCCTCTCTTCTGCTCAACAGCAATACCTCTCTTCCAGCTGCACAGAATTATAGGGTCTCCCCATATCACGATGTTAGCACCCTTCAGCAGTTCTTGCTGTGGGCACTTCTATTTCCTTATATCTCTCTGGTGAATTATTCTTGCTCATTCTCCAGGGATTAATTCAGGGAGTGTTCTTAAAAGCTGCCCTGATTCTCCCACAATGGAATCCACCAATTGCTTTTTCACTCAGTTCCCAGTGGTACATACACCACTAAAACCCCAACCTGTCGCCATGCCATAGACACCCTGTGTTGTTGTTGTTAGTTGCTTTCCAGTCAAGTACGACTCATAGTCTTGCAGGATCAGAACCCTGCCCTATCCTGTGCTGTCTGCACAGTCTCTGACATACTTGAGCTGGGTGCTGCAGTTACTGTATCAGTCCATCTGGTTGAAGATCTCTCTCTTACTGCCCCTCTCCAAAGTACAACTCCTCTTAGCAACATGACCAGAATTTGTGAGACGAAGCTTTGTCATCTTTGCCTCAAGAGGTGTTCTGGTTGTACTTTGTCCAAGACAAATAGCTGTTTGATCTTTGGGCAGTTCATAGTATGTCCAGCACTCTTCTCCAACACCACAGTTCAAAGGCATCAATTCTGTCATCTGTATTCATTGTCTCAATTGCTCAGCAAGTGATTGAAAAGACATGGCCTGTATCAGGTACACCTTAGTCTTCAAACTGATACCATTGTTCTTCAGTACTTTGGAGGGGTCTCTTACTGCATACTTCCTCAGTGTAATATGTCTCTTGATCTGAATGCTGGTACCAAAGATTATGGATCTAAGTAAAATGAAGCCATTGACAATTTCAGTGTTTTCTGCATCTATCATGATGTTGCTCAATGGCCCAATGATGAGAAGTTTTTATTTCTTCACATGAATATATAATCTTTATTGAAGTCTTTGATTTTCTACATCAAGTGCTTTGAGTTCTCACTTTCAGCCAGCAAAATTGTGTCATCTACATAATGTAGGTTGTTGATGAGTCTTTCTATGATCCTGATGCCACATTCTTCATAGAGTTCGACTTCTTAAATGATTTGCTCAGCATACAGATTGAATAGGTATGGAGAAAGGAAACAACTCTGACGCACACCTTTCCCTTGTTTTGTTTGCTTCTTGGTGTATGTAGAGGTTTCACATGAGTACAGTTAAGTGTTTGGGGATTTGCATTCTTTTCAGTGTTAGCCATAATTTGATAAGATTCACATGGTGAAATGCCTTTGTATAGTCAGTAAAGCACAAGTAGACATTCTTCTGGTATTTCCTACTTTGAGCCAAGGCCCATCTGACATCAAGATCCAGCTGATACCATTGGTACTAAATAGCCTTCTAAACGCAGCTTTAACTTCTAGGAGTTCTCTATCTGCAGTTCTAACAATTTTTAAATGATCCTTAGCAATATTTTGCTTGCATGTGATGCTAGTGTTTGGTAATTTCTACATTCTATTAGATCACCTTTTTTAAGAATGAGAACAAATATGAATCCCTTCCAGTCAGTTGCCCAGAAACCCTATGGGAAAGAGTAATACTATTCTATAGGATTTCATAGACTGTAAATCTTAATGGAAATAGACTGCCTCATTCCCCCTGTTCCCCTCAAAAGCTAATGTTGACTCTGAACCAATCACTTTTCAGTTAGTGGTTGAGTTCTTAGCCATTGTGCCTTTATGGTTCTATGGATAGTAGGCACAGGGGGGCAATTTTATTTTATATTTTATACCTAAACAAGATGGTCTGACACAGTGACTGGGTAGCAGTGGGCTCAGTTTATCAGCAGTGGTGAGGATGGCAAGGACAGGGCTGCGTTCTGATCCATTGTCCATAGGATCATATGAGTTGCTGTTGACGCAGCGCATAACAAGAGGTTTCCTCTGGTAAATTCGTTTTCCTGCAGACCAAGACTTTATTTTCTGGATCTCTTTATCCCCGGTGCATATTCAAAGCAGTGACTGCTGTATTCTGTTCCTTATCTTGGTGACATTTCTAGTGCTTATCATCCCAGAACCCCTTCTTTTCCTAGAAATTGTATTGAACCTTCTTTTATGAAAAATTTGAAGCACTCAGCATGGTAGAGAGTAACTAAGGCTAGCCATCGTTCACATGTGGTAATAATTGTGTTATATTTGCATTAAATATTTTGGAAGTTTCTTATGAACAAGATTATTATTGCCATTACTGCCTACCTTTTGTTTTCATGATACTGACTTGAAAATACCAAGGAATTTTCTGAACTTCTCTCTTCCGTGTAGTGCCTTGTCCTCTGTTTTTATCTGTTTTACTCTATCATTGCCTGTATTTTTTTTATAAAGTCATTATGAGATCTAAAGACTCACTTAGATTCAGTGTAAACACTTTGATAAAGATGAGTTATAGGTGGTGTGTTACTCATTCTTTATAACATCTGGAAGACTCATGTACAGATGTTCTCTTAGTGGGGAGGCTGAGATTGACTGGAGGGTTCAGTAGGTGGTAGCCACATCCCTCCATTGTAAAGTCATACTTCCCTCCTTTTTGAAGAGCAGGTACTCTGTGGAGCACAGGCTGGGAATTTCAATCTGAGTCTAATTAAAGGACAAAACCCACACAATGATTTTAAATAGGGGAAATGGAATACTCAGAGACAGTAAGTGATGATGAAAGAATTATAAGAAAATGTTATATGTGAGCACAACCAGGGAGGGACAAACTTGGAATGGAAGTAAGACCCTTTCCCAAGGCTAGGATTCAGACTTTGTTGGAAAAGGTGTAGTTTACGGAGTCAGAGTCAGTGGGCAACCAGCCCTCCTGGATGCAGATGGGGCCAGTGAACCAGACCTGGTGGCTAGGTGTGCGAGCTTGCAGCAGGAGTGGTTGGAAGCACTGTGAGCAGGAGACTGGGAGCCTGTGTTGTCCCTGTGAAAAAAGGAGTTGTGCAGAGAGAACTCTGGAAGACAGACAAACCTCTGGTGGGACTAAGGGAGCAGGAGGGTGAGAGAGGCAAATTGCTAGTACAGGCTAGAGGACTGGAGCACAAGGTGCCCTTTTGGAGGAAGCCTCAGGAAAATGGACCCCAGTCCAGGCCAAAACTGTGGTCATCATAGGATGTGGGTGCTGGGCATGTTGTTGGAGCGGAACATTCTACCAGGTGTCTTCATGCCCAGACTGCTGACTGACAAACTTGACATTGCGACTTTCAGAAATGGCAAGAAAGCTCCTTCCGCCTTCAGTATCACTCATACACCGTCTACAGAGAAACATTGGCTCACTGTAGAGCCTTGTGTTAGCAGTAACCTCTGGTGACCTAGTGGGTAAGGATTTGCACTACAAACCCCTGAGGCAGGCAGTTTCAATCACCAGCTGCTCCTCCAAAGAAAGATGGTCAGTCTCCTCTCATGCAATTTAGAGTCTCTGCGGCGGGTCAGCTATAAGTCTCTTCCGACTTGATGGCAAAGAGTGAGTGAGAGAATTGAGTTAGCCATTGACTTAGGACAATGCCATGCAAAGCAGAAAGAAGCTTTGACCAGTGTTACAGTATTTCCCTGATTGTTGCAATCAGACCTTTGTGTTTCCACTGACATTTTGGGAAGTAGATTGCCAGGCTTTTCTTTCAAGACCATCTTAGTCTGGACGCTCTACAATAGAACAACAAGCTTTTGATGACAGATGGGTGGTAGAAGTATATGAGGTACTCACAAGCTAGGAATCAACCCTGGGTCTCCTGCACAGAAGGCGAGAATTGTACCACCAACCTGTTCTGTAAAACTAATACAGCACAGAATGTGCATTTGGAGATGAGAAACATAAAAGTTGAATTTAGTAGAGTGCACTCTGCCTGTTTAGCTTCCACACACCACCTTCTTTATGCTTTTGAACTCTCTCAAACCAACTAAGTGGCTCGGTGCTTGCTTAACAAGATTCTCCTATCCCTCTTTCAAATAAAGACCTTGACATTCCAAAAATGAAAAGAAATACACTCTCGACAACCATTGTATGCTTTAGGATTGTATTATCAAGTTCAGCTCTAGTCCTGTTACCTAATGACTAAATTGTTAAGTTAATCTGCATTAATTTCTGTATAAAATATAAATAGAAAAGACAGACAAGATAATGGTAAAGTTGTTAGGTGCTGTCGCGTCAACTCAAATTCACAACAGCCCTGCATACAGCTGAACAAAACGCTGGCCGGTTCTGCACCTCACAGCTAATGCTGTGTTTGGGACCATTTTACAGCCACTTTGTCAGCCCACTTCAATGAGGGTCGTCTTTCCCTGACCTTCTACTTGATGAAGCATGACTTCTTCCAGGGACTAACCCCTTCTGATAATAGGTCTGTGAGATGAACTCTCATCATCTCCATGTCTAAGGAGCATGCTGGCTGCATTTCTTCTAAAACTTTTTTCTTTTGGAAGCTCAG